TCGAATGGAATAGCCATCAAATACACGATCAGATGTGTAAGACTTTGGTTAATCGACTATCCGTCGTAATTTGAGTTGGATGGACTAACTCACGTAATCCCCTCCTCTGACACCTACTGCTACTAAAGTGGAAAGTCTCGCGCTCCCGTGCTTGAGAGAAATGTAGTTCAAGTGGCAGTTGAACTCCATGATTTAGTAAAAAATAGAAAGATAAATAAAATGCCTTCGGTGTCCGATAAAGAGAGTGTTCTTCATCTAACGAAAACCTTAATGTCAACTGGTTCAAACGCGGATCTCTTCTTGATCACCATGTTTTCTCTCGACATGTACTTGTGGATGTTGTTCATGGAAATATTCAACCTTGTAGCCACTAGTCCAATCCAGGCATCTTCAATTGGAATGTACTGAGTGAAGAGCATACCCAACGCCACTTTTTCAACATTTTCAAATCCTGCTAGAATGTATATGCCCTGCATGTAGGTTGGATATCGTGGCCATGGCGCCTCCTCCTTCAGCAAAGCCCATTTCTGATACTTTTTCCAGCCAAAACGTATTACCACCGCGTTTCTCTCAACCTTCCCGTGGAACATGGTCCGCCTTTGCTGTTGGGACATGGAGGAGAGAACGCGAATAAGCTCTCGTGGAGAGAAGGGAACATCGTCATCGATGAATAGAACGTTGGGTTGAGTAATTCGACAAAAAGTGGAGAACCACATGAAGGAGTAATGCGTCTTCAGGGTGAGATTGAAGTAGGTGTCCTCGTAGTCACCCACTATCATGTCGCCGTGTGTAGCCATCTCTTCGACCAAATTTTTTGAGATTTGTCGAAGCGATTGAGGATTTAAATTTTCACTTCCACTTTCAGTGAGTTTGAAGTTATGCGTGCCGCGTTTAAAAATGCTGTTGGTTTGGGTTCGTGGAACACCGAGAGAAAATACGAGTCCAATTCGCATATCTTGAATGGTGTAGGCATTGCTGTTTATCACATTGCCATACACATGACGAAAGAGTTCGCGACGTTTGAAGCTGGCAACATTTGACTTAATTACCACAACAACGTCAAAAGCATGACTTGGAGGATTTTCCGGATGGCATACCTCTCGACTAATCGCTAAGTACCGAAAGACGCCGCCATTTATTGGAGCCTGAAGTTTTAAAATTAGTGTATCAGTGTTTGTAGCAAATTGCAAATGAACAGATCTAGGAAATTTGCAAAGTTTAACAATATCGAATCGACAGTGTAAGTAAGGAGGAAACAAATGACGATGGCTAGGGATGGAGAGGCCTATCAAAGAAGGAAATCAAGGATAAATTAAAATGAAATTTATACCTACTGAGTCTGGTTTAAAGATTTTGATGAGTTATGTTTAAGTTTTGAGGAGGATGTTCTAGTCTTACCTCTGCAATCGGTGTGTTGTTAAGCAGGCGATGGATGGTATCGCTGAGATTCAGTGGTTGTGGGTAAACCAGATACACCCGTGGATCAATGGGAATCTTCCAGTTTGAATCAGGGATCAACTGCAAATCTTCATGACTCAGAAGCGCATACCGATCCCCAGTCTTACGAACATAGCCCTGAGGGATTTTGAACTCCGATGCATTACTTCCATCAACCTTATAGATGACTTTCAGTTCGTAGGCACCGTTTTTCTTAAGAATTTGAAAGGGCCAATCT